AAAATATGATCCTACTTATCAGATACTCATTAACTTTAACTTAATATATTAAAGTAGTTTTTTTTACTATTAAATACTATAAATTATCTTTAACCTCTCAATATTAGAATTATTACAAGTTTAAAATAACTTTAAATGATATTATTATCATTATATATATTGCAATAGATAAAGATATTAATAATAATATTAAAGAAGCTATCAACTATTTAGCAAATGCTTAATGTGTTATAACTGAAAAAAATAATTTGTAATTGTTAAATTATTGTCTTCTTTAACTAATGAAAATGTAGATAATGCAACACAGGCTTACTAATAAACAATAAATACAGAAATAATAGAATTGATCAAATGATTGATGAATTTGGTAACCTTTGTATTTCTTTATTAAAAATGCAATTAATGATTTTTTTTAAGTATTAAAAGAAGTTCTAATTAAAGTTCTTTTAAATGAAAATAATATTATAAAATAGTTCAAAAGAGGTATATAATGATGGAAATAATAATGATTCTGAAGAAGATTTCAAAGAAGATCCAATACCAATATGAATTAAATTTTTACAAAATTGGATAACTTTTTTTGAACAACAAACAAAAGATAAATTTAAAACGGAAGATTTAGATATTTTTAAAAAATATCTTAATATAGTATGACAACTTGATAGCAAACTAGAAAGCAAGTTTCAATAACTGATTTTTTTTTAGCAAGTAATCATTAAAGGAATAATAATTATATGAACTCTTCAAATATTACAAATCAATCGAATTTTATATGATTTATTTTAACAATTATACTTTATACTATTTAATCAGAATCTTTAAATCATTATATATAGTCACATGATTTATAATATAGCGGCGATTATATAGAGGTTTCATTTATACAGTCACGCCTCTATATAATCACTTAATTCAAAATTTTAACTTATATTTTATAATATAAAGTATAAACAAATTGGTAAGAAATCCATAATCCGGCCAAGCATTTGTAACATTACCCATAAAATTTCGGCTCGCTAATTTTATATTCTACATGAAAATATATTGATCAGTAATTTCCCCGATTTGGAGCTGTCTGATTTTACATATTGTGATAAATCATTTATTTGTATATGATCGGTAAAAAGGATCATGACCGCTATGCGCAATTAGACAATAATATTCTGTTTGAAATTTCAAATTTGAAAAATCAAATCCACCCAAAGATATTTCTATTGACTCAAGTTTAATTAAAAAGACGGTTATTTTTCTAAGAAATTAATTTTTAAAAAGAATAGTCAGCGAAAATCTTTACCTAATCGTTACGGAATCGGTATAGCAGAAATGCATGATGGGGATCAAGTTTCAAAATAACAATTCGAAATAGTTTCAAAGTTGTTACGAAATATTTTAATACAACCTTTTTTATGATAATAAAGGGAATTTTTTTTTTATGTTGGTAGTACTTACTACAATTAGTTACATATTTTATTCCCCAAAAAAATGTTAATTATAATAGTAAATTTTTTTCCCAACTTGCTATACCTACTATATACAAGTTTTACTTGGAGCCGTTTTAAACTCTGTGTAATATAATTTTTATTAAGATACATCTCGCGGATAACCGAAAATGCCAACCCGATAGTTCGATTTGACAACGATCGCACCTTTTCGTCCTTTCATTTTTTTTAAAAAAAAAAAGCCATCAAAACAAATTCTGTTACACGAGGAGAAAGATAGGATAGCATTATGAACATTTTCATAAATGTTATATTAAGGATTAAATAAATTCGAAAAGATTACACCCGTGCTTTCAAGGTAAATTATCATTTGTTCACTTTTTTGGTTTTTTTTTTTTTGATAATCAAAATCTCGTCACGGGAGTATAGCATATAGAATATCGGATTTGATCTGTGATTAATTAGAGCATAATCAAAATGTTTTATCTACGAATTTGCCCGAATTACCTTATATAAGAAGATACGGGGGCTATGCATCATTGTTAATTGTCTCAAGACTTTTTTGTAAGTAAAAGTTAAAATCAATTATCAGTTGTATTAGGTCGAAAATGTAAATGATATTGTTCACTTCTTTGCAAAAATGATTGATATTGATATGCATACTAAAAACTTGTAGATAACGACAATAGATAACATTATTATGTAAATTTCTTCTAATCTATCTATTATATTACGTTTAAAATACGTATCCTGGCTTATCCCAAATTACAATTGCATTTGATTCGTTATTTAAAAATTGACGAAATAATTATCAAGCTACTTGCTATCTTTTTCAATCGTTTGATTTTTTTAAGGAAAAGGCACTTTTACAAAATGCACTTTTAAATATGATTAAAAAAATTACGATCTCTTATTATTACTTTTTTTTTTTTTTAAAAAAAAAAAAAATATTTCTAAAAGACATACTTAAAAGAAAGCATAGGAATCCACGGGTTTGTTTGTTTGTTAATTTTAATATTACCTTTTTTTCTTATTGTAACTTGAATAACTTCGCACATAATAAATGTTTATAAGAAATAATAGATAAACAAAGATTTCTGTTATTAACGTTCCATATTTGGAATTATTTAAAAAAAACAAGATTGAAAATTTTACATTTATTCATTCATTCATTTGTTTGTTACTTAATTATTTATTAATCTTTTTATTTTATTATTTGAACACATGCATAGTATCTGGAAAACTTGGGAATGTGATTATAAAATATTATTGTAAAAAACTTTAATGGATGGTTCTTGTCGATCGTTGCTTATTCCCATTTATTTCAAATGCATGATTATTTGGAAAAATCTACAATGAGAACAAAAAAAGTTGAAGATAACATTGAATACGATAAGGGAGGAATGATTAATGCAAAGAACTTCAACGCCACCAAAATTTCTTTCTTTGTGTAAAAAAAAAAAAAAAAAAAAAAAAAAATATAACCATTTTATAATGGATTAAATTTTTACAATTTTGCAGATGATCTCGAAGATTCTTTAGCCGTGAAACCTTTTTCTTTGATGTCAAATTTTTAATTGGCCCAAATATGGTTAATCTTTCCGCTTACTTTGTTAATTGTGTGGATGGTACAATAAAAAAAAAAATTTTTTTTCATCTGTATTTTTTTGACAGGTGGGTAAATTATTAATACCATTGTCTCTTATCTTTCAATATGTGAGGAGTTCTTATAATACAACCCTTTTTCGTCCTCTTTGTTCTCAAAAAAAAAATTTTTTTCTTTTTACTTTTTAAATAAGTAAAAAAGCGGTTGATTATATGCTGAGCAATGTTTCCTGCTTTAAAAAGCGAAATTTTCCAATTTGAGAGCACTCGTGATCTCACGTTGATGTCATACATACACGTTTTGGTTCTCATATGAAAATGTTTCTCACCAAAGAATTGGTAAATTCGAATTTTTTCTGAAAAGATAACTAATTCATAATGCACAAATGATAGCTTTTTTTTTTTTTTTTATTACCTGAGCAACGATAATGCAGAATTTATACACAAGAACGACAGGGGCGTTTTACACTAAATCCATAATGGGATATCTAAAAAGAATTTTTTTTTTTATTTTTTAAAAAAAGTACAAGTGTCAAAATTCCCCGCTTTCTTCTTCACTTTCACGTTTTACACGTTCAGCATGTGATCAAATGATGCACGTACGAAACAGGAAAATACGTCTTGATACTGCAGGTTGACAGAGGAAATCGAATCACAATTAAACATTCATCGAAAAAATTATATTGGGATAATAAGGTTTTTGGGTCCATTCTTTGTCAATCGTATCGAAGATGGCAGAAATAAACAATAAAGCTAGTCTAACCAAAAAAAGACGCGAGGAGAATGTGCGAAAATAACCAGGTTCATATATGAATTGCTTTACTGCATTGACTTTAAATTTTGACACTTTTCGTGTAATTATTTGATGATGATTTTTTATCACTGAAGTTTGTATCTTACAGTGTGATCATCAAATATTTTTTAATACTTTAAGAATTTATAGTTCAGATTGACTGAGAAGAAGTGAGATGATGTAATTGAAACTATTTGAAACTTACCTGTTTAAACCCTTTTTGGGTTTTTTTTGCATCTCACAATCATCTTATTTTTTTTTTTTTTTTTTTTTTTTTCCTTTTCGTAATCCCCATTGTATTCAAGACAATCATATAATAGGACATATGCTTACGAACAGAACGTGGATAAACTTTAAAAAGTTCAAATTCGCCATTTATGCTAATTCCGCCACTAATTCGTTAAATAAAGAAGAGATAATGTGCCAGGTATTTATATGCATGCGTGATACATATTGTATGATGATAAAAAAAAAAATTTTTTTTTGATTAATTTGTCTCCGAAAAAAAAAAAAAAAAAAAAAGAGCATGCATGGATATGGTAATGAGGGACGAAAAATGCGAAGTTAAGTAAAAGCAAATTCACGTCATTGCTCCTATCTACTTCTTGTTCATCGGATAGAAGGAAGATAAGTATCATTGAGCAGTGCATCACAGCATAATTATTATTGATGCAGCAAGTGAAAAGAAAAAAAAAAAAAATGTCGTTAACATGCATTTTCCTTCAAAAAATTTTTTTTAAGACAATAATTCGGAATTATATCTAACGATATTCTTGATATCCTTCACTTATCTCACTAACATATATTAGGTGGTCGCGTTTTAATTTACCTATTCATAAACGGATTAGTGAAGACATTTTATTGTTACGATAGCGCTTATACCATTATATTTTCGATGTTCTTTGACAGTTAAAGTTATGTACAACCTAAAGATAAACAACCCTTTTTCACATGTCAAATTATTTGAAAAAAAAAAAATTGTATCAATTGTAATTAATTCAACGATAAGAGATAAGAGTACATAGAGATAGGGAAAAAAAAAAAAAAAATTAAAATGGCTCATATACCGTGTCACCGCATTATTTATCACTTGTATAATGTAACTATTATATGCATTGTCGTGATATCAATTCACCAAAATGATACATAAATACTTAATAAAAATGAACTGTCAAATTGTGTTGTCGATAAGAGCAGTCGAACCTCATTTCCCCACCGAACATTTCCTAACCTTTATACCGAAACTTGCTTACGTAATAATGTCTTCTTTCGCTCTCTCTAATATAATTAACGGTCCAACAGAAGAAATAACCGCGTCGGTTAATAATGATAATAACCAAAGCGATCCCAACATCAATTCTCATGGTAATAGAGCCAGAACACGAAATTACATGTGTGATACTTGTGGCAGAGGCTTCGGCCGTTTAGAACATAAGAACCGTCACATTAGAACTCACACAGGTGAGAAGCCACACAAATGTAATTGGAACGGGTGCGAAAAGAAATTTTCGAGATCCGACGAGTTATCGAGACATAAGAGAATTCATGAAAACGCGTTTAAGAGAAGAGACCGAAACAAAAAGACAATCGCTTTGTCGTTTAGAAATTTGACGGCTTACATACATAATCAGTCACAAAATGAGAATAATTCAATAACCTACATTTTCGCTGAATCAACCACCAAACCCAACTCTTCATGGCAAAAACCATTTAATTGCCCCACCGAAGGGTGCACCAAGTCATTCTCACGTCATGGTCATCTTTCTAGACATGTTCAGTCCTGCCAATCAAACAAAAAGCGTAAAGAAACCTCGGAGAAATCAATCACACCACCAAGTTCAGATGTAGAATCCGCAGCAGTTTCACCAGAGTTGCGTCCTACAAATCAACCAGAGCCCATTTTTGTTACTCCGACACCTGTATATGCGAAACCCCAACCAGTGGAATGTTCAATGAGGTCATATCCTACCGTACCTGCTCAACTATGGACACACCCGAATTTGCAACCAACTTTGCATCATAGTCATAGTATCCGTGAAATCATGGAGTGTCCATTAGAAATCGGCGCCAAACGGACCCTTCCGCCACCAATTTCGGATGCTTATAATACAATGGAGAAGAAATTACCCTCTCTTTCTCTTTGGTAAAAAAATGACCGTTCCCTTCTTTTCTTTTTTAAAATTTAAAATTAAAATTATTTATCCCCCCCTCCCCCTCTTGTTATATTAATTATTTTATGATTAAATTCATTTTTTTTAAAAAAAATTATGTAAAAATTAAGGCAAAATCAACGAAATTTTTATTTTCAATGATATATATATATATACTCGTCTATGATTCGTATGCATGCATTCATTTGAAGACGTCTTTAATTTAATTATAATAATATGATTTTTTTTTTTTATTTGTATATTTTAAAAAATTTTTAAACGTCACCGTTTTAAATTCGATAATCGTGGATCCATTTTGTACAGTCCGTATTTTAATTTTCTTTTTATATATCTTTTTTTTTTTTAAAATGTAAATTCATTAAAAACTTATAATTCTCCTTCACATAATAATTGAGAAATTTCTCCCAAAAAAGATTTTTTCTGACTTGTTTCAAATACCGAAAAAAAATATTTGACCAACTTACTTACTTTCATTGTTAATTTCGTGTGTTGTGTTGTATACAGTTTTTTTCGTTTTATTTTTTTTCGGCGAAGATAAAGTTATTTTTGTTTTATAATTTGATTTTAACAACTTACGAATTATTAAAAAAAAAAAAAAAAAAAAATTAATAAAATTTTAAGCAGAATACCAACCAAAAAAAAAAAAAATACATTGTTTTGTGTAATTGAAAATCTTAATGATCTTTTTTCGCGTAACAAACAACGAAATTGACATTAAACTTGTTTTTTTTATTGACATTAGGTGTGGGAAAACCTGTCAAAAAACAATTAATAATAATCAGGGATCACGATTTGTTTTTTTTTTAAAAAAAAAAAAAATGCTACACAGACTAATGAGTACCTCAATGGATTTAAATCTTGACGAGAGAAATAAATTGAATTCGAATTTACTAAATCGGGTAATTTTTTTTTACACTTTACATTAAATATTAAAATTTATTGAATTGTAAAGAAAAAAAAGGTAAAATTTCTAGTTTAACCTGATTTGACAACTCAGAATAAAAAGATGAATTGTTTAAATTTATTTAAAAACAACGATATAGATATAAATGGGATACATGGATATGACCAAAATGATTTGACGCGAATTCTTTTAGTTTTATTAATTCATCCAATTATAATTGAAAAAAATTTTTTTTTAATGTGCGACTTTGAAAAAGTTGGTTTTTTTTTTTTATTATGGTCATTACTTGTTATAGATTATTATATAAATAAAATATGCAGAATTTGATGACAAGTTTTTTAAAAAAAAGTTATTAAATTGTCGTGATGGCAGATCTTTGTTTGAGAGGCATGTTGTCACGCGGTGAACTTTTGGTTTTAAATTAATAACGTGGCTTTTTTTTTTTGGTTACAAAGAAAAAATGTGATTGTTTGATACTATCCCATTAACTGATCAATTAAAGGGAGGAAAAAAAAAAAAATTATCTAATTTTTTTTTTTTTTTTTATGAACTTTTTAATCTAAACCTATTTTGTGAGGTGTGTTACCTAGAAAAAAAAAAATAAATCTTCAAAGATCAATATATACAATATATTCTCACACACTTGCACAACATAAATGTGTGGGAGAATTTACAAAATCAGGAGCATTTAAATTATAAATTTGAACATGGAATAAGGGTTTTGCATTTTAAAGGTTGTTTTCTTTTCATTCACATGTCATCTTACCTTTCACGATTGCTTTAAACGGCAAATAAATAATATGGGGAACAAAAATTTCGTGGAAAAAAAAATTAGACACGGAGAATTCGTGTGATGGGTCACTTGATTTTAACTGCACATGCTTATGATGTCATTGAAACAATAAAACTCCAACAATGAACTTTTTTTTTTTTAAACACGAAAATAAGCCAATAAAGATCAATTTCTTTTTTTCGATCGATTTTGTAATTTCTTCACATATTTAAAACGGAACGGATTATCATTTTTTTTAATGTAATTCTAATAAATAAAAATTCACGAGCTTGTATCTGGTTCGTCATGTCTTATTACATCAACCCATAGAAAACCATCTATTCATGTATGCATTAGTAACAGTATACGATAATATAACAAGAACAGTACTTGTAAACTTACACGCATTATTACATTATTGAATTTGTACAAGATATACATTATTTTTTTTTAAAAATTGATACTGGAATGTGATACAATATACATTGTGTATTTGCGGTTTGAGAATTTTACCGAACCGCAAATTTCAGCTGCGATAAATAATTCCTTTGACGATTATTGACGATTGAGGTAAAGATTTTTGTTGAACTACTGAAAAATACATGTAAAATTAGAGAAGATCGAACCTAATAATATTAATAATTATTAATAAACTAAGGTAAGAGCAAAATTTCCCAAGACTAAGTGAATTCAAAGAGTCGGAAAAAAAAATAAATAATATTAATGTTCAATAGAAAGAAAGGGTTAAAAGCCACATTAATTACTTGCTAAACAAAATTTGCCTTATCCATCACCGTGACAAGGGAAAAATATATATATGTAATTATTTTAATAACTTTCTTTTAGCTATTCTTTTTTCTGGACTATCTCGCTTTCTTTCTCTCCTTACCTGTGCTAAATTCTAAAGATATTTGATTGCTTCGTCTACTTTTTCTCCTGATGGCCTCATAAATTCTCTTGGCCGGATCTTATTTTAATCGCATAATCATTCTTTTTTCATTTTTCTTCTGTCGATAATAATGCTAATAGACATTGTAAAAAAATATATTCGCATCGTACAACTTTGAAAAACTTGGGATGGTTATCGATTTTACTAGTTTTAATCAAAAAATTACAGGTTAACTTTGTTAGAAATTTTAGAAATTACAAGAGCAGGCATGTTTGCATGTCAAAGGATGTTTCATCAATTATAATAAAGCAATAGAAATTAGCTTCAAACAATAAATGTATCTTGAAATAAATTTTATAAAAAATATTTTATATTTCTAATCATAATTTTATTTGACTTTTCAAGAATAAGTTTCAGGCAATAATACATTATTTAGAAAATTACAGGAATTTCAAAGATAAAAATTATTATTAGTTAATATTTTAGTATTTAAAATAATTATCCATAATCTTACTAAAAAATAATTACTGATTTTAAATTAATTAAAATTAAATCCTATATGGGAAAATCAAGACTTTAGGGATTTTTTTTTTTGACTAAAATTAAGATCTTATTAGAAAACTAAAAAATAAAATTTTATTAAAAAATTCCCAGAGAGCCTGATTTTCTTAACAATCTTTCCAAATATTATATATTAAACTTTTTTATTATATCTATAATTTTCTAATTTAATTAAATTTAATCAGATATTTAAAATATCATATTAATAGTTAATTTATATTTATATTACTTTAAATTTATAATTTTAAATTATTATTTTTTTAAATCTTACTTTATTTAATATATATATATAATTTATATTAAATTATAAATATATTCTTATTAAATTTAATATATAAATTTAATCATAATATATAATAATAAGATTATATATTTAAAAGTTATTATTAATTAATCTAATATAATTTAATTAAATTAAATTAAAAGAATATTATACTATGAAAATTTAATTTTAATATATATAAAAATATCCTTTCAATAGTAATATAAATATAAAATTATTACTTACTTATATTAAACTAATTGTATTATATAATTATAAATAAAATATTACTTAGTTATTAATTATACATTTTTTGATCTCATTTTAATGCATTTTTATAATATTTATATTAATAGCTTTTGGTTTTATTAAAAAAAATAACTCTACATATCTCAACTGAAATAAAATTTAATAATATCACTTAGATTGCAATTTTTACTAAACTTATTTATAAAAAACTTTTAATATCTCTTTAATAAAAAAAAATTATTGATAATGTAACTAATAAATTATTATTTTTTTTATGAATATTTGAATAATTAAGTTTATAAAAAAAGTAATTTTCATATACAAGTAAAAATCTATACATTTAAAATAAATATATTTAATCTTTATGATTTATTTATTTAATGATAAATTACTAATAATTAATAATCTTCTATTAGTTATTATAAAAATAGAAACTACAAAATGTATTATTATAAATAATGTTACTATTGAAGTTAAATTTAAATTAGTAAAATATTATTTAAAGAAGTTAGTATTGTTTTTCATATCTGTCAAATAATTTTTTTTAATAAATTTTTATTATTATATATTTCTTTATTATATTGCTTATTATATAATTAAGAATATATTAATAATAATATATAAATAAAATTATATAGTTTTTTTTATTATTATATAAATCAAAAAAATAATTAAAAATAAAAATTTTTTTATTAAAACATATATAGTTTTAAATTAAGAAAAAAATTTTAATTTTAGAGAAATTAATTAATTTAGAATTCTTAATTCTAATAATCTTTTTATATTTTAGAATTTATATCTCTAAAAATATAAATAGTGAAGTATATAATATAATTCAAACTATCATTACTTATATAGCAAAAAAAATTAATAACATGAATTTTTAAATATAAAAAATTAGATAGTAAATTATACTTTGATATAGAATCTAAGTTAAATATAAAAACTTAATTATTAATATAATTAAATTTAGAAAAAAGCAATAAAATTAAAAATTTTAATAACAAATATATATACTGTACTATTTTAAAAATAAGCATCCTATAATATGTTTTTTCAATAATGGTAATTATTTTATTTATCATATATATTATTTATCATAATTATAATAATAAATATTTATTTATTTATTTTTAAAATGATATGATAATAATAGTTAATTACTTATAAAATTATTTTAATTTTATATTATACTTTTAATTTTTTCTTGAATTTTAAAGTAAACTAATTTTTTAGATTAATTTTAACCTAATATATCTGATTTTTTAACATTGTCACTATGGAATTCTTCAACTCGAGGTGGTCACGTTATCAAGTCTTTACTCAAAATTTCTTAACT